TAAATGTTTTTAAATAGTAAATATTAATAAATCATTTCATCTAAACAGCATTTTACTGACGAAGCTGCAAAGGAAACGTGTAAAGGCAAGCAGCTGATCCTGAATAACAATGATGCCAAATATGAAAAGAACCTCAACAGACATAAGTTAATATTTTCAGAATGTTTCATAAAAGAATAAAGTAACTTTGTCTATATTAGATGATAATGAGCGCTGCTGGCTCAGTGGTTAAGCGCTTGTCTGCTATTCAAAATGGTCAGTGGTTTGAACCTACCAGCTGCTCTGTGGGAAAAAGATGTGGCAGTCTGCTTCCTTAAAGAATACAGCCTTGGAAACCCTATGTGGGCAGTTCTACTCTGTCCTATAAGGTTGCTATGCGTCAGAATCGACTCAATGACAAAGGGTTTCGTTTTGGTTTAGTTAGGCTGATCATTAAAAATATGAGTTATTTAGAACAAGATGTCTTATGGCCTGAGTTTGACAATGTCCACTACTGATAGGTGAGTTCAAATATTCATCTTACATAGGCAATGCAGTTTTTTACCCCTTCAGCTTCCCTATAGAGAGCTCTGCCTTATGCCCACTATCTTACACATTAAAACAGAGAAAATCTTCTGTTTCATTTCTTCTTTTACATCTTATATCTCCATACCTCTTTTGGAGTTTTTGGCTGCGATTCTCTCAGTTCTTCATACTTCCATTTCCATAAAGACAAAGCTGATTCCAATTGTTCTATTTCTTTTTCCAAAGATGAGCGCATTCTAAATCATTTAAGAATTAAAGAAAGCAGATTAGATTTATAATGTAAAACTAATTTATAAGCGCATCATTCAATTTTAGCTTTTTTGTTTTCCTAATTTTTGGTATTTGTATGTGATTACTGTAATGAAAGAAACATTTTTCCAACTTATTTAAAATTACAAATATTGAATAAAATGATTTAACTTGTTATTCTGTCTACCAACTCTACAGTAGAATAAACATATTTAATTTGGGTTTGCTCGTATCACAATAATTGATTTTCTGGCTACTTTCTCATACATTAGTTATACATTTCTCTACAATTGTCTTTTATTCATATCATTTCCTTACAGAGGAGGACAGTATATGTTTCTAATTTTAACATGGTTTTTCTGTCCCCATGATGTGACTGTATATGAATGAAGAAACCTTTGAAATGACAGAGAATGCCAAAGAGCCCACCTAACATTTTAAAAACACCAATCATTTAGTGGGAATATAAAAATAATTTTAAAATATTTGCAATTTTGTTTTAATGAAGCAATTTCACTGGGATTTTTTTCTATATTCAAAATTATAGAAATTAATTTCATAATCTGTAGACTAGTGACAGAACTGGAAATCCTGGTGGTGTAGTGGTTAAGAGGTTGGCTGCTAACCAAAAGGTCAGCAGTTCGAATCTATCAGCCGCCCCTTGGAACCCCTATGGGGCAGTTCTACTCTGTCCTATAGGGTCACTATGAGTCGGAATTGACTTGACGGCAATGGGTTTGGTTTGTTTTCTTTTTGGAAGTGACAGAACTAGGAGTAAAATCTGATCCTTTAATATTTCAATCAATAATTTTTTTTTCTATACCCACAATGTCCATTAGAGTGAGTCACTGAAAACTGTTTTATTTCTGACTATAATAAGCAAATATTGACACTTGCAACCAGCTTATCCTTAGTTCAAACATACCCCTTCTTTTTCCTCTACTTCCATGGACAGAGTCGATTTCCCCATTCCTCAGTTCTAGGCTTTGGCAACAAGATATTATCAATTGTGACACAAGCAAAGATTTAAAAATAACTTGTGGGACTGGGCTTCTCCTGTGCCTCTGCCATCATTGTGAAAAGTTTCCCCCAGCTAGCTGCTATTCCAGAAGAAGCAGACATGGAGCAGATCTTAGCCAACCTCACCACAGATCTGAGTCCTGTTAGATCCACAGCTTGAAACACAGCCACCCAGCTGAGCCCAGCTTAGATCAGTTGACTCCAGTCTCCTGGCATCCACAGGGACAAAGTAAATAATGGTTGTTTTAAGTCACTGAATTTCAAATTGTTGTTTTAATGTAGCAGAATATAACTGATATAGAAATTGATACCTAAAAGTGGGGTGCATCAGTAACAAAAACAAAAGAATGCAGATTATATTTGAGGATCAGATGGGGAGCAAGGGCTGGAAGTGGTGAAACTGGAAAAATAGTGACATATTTAGTGGTGAAGCATATGGTAAAACTGTCATCTGCAGTATCTTGGAAAATAGAAAATATGCCTGACCTTACCAATAGAATGCTAGTGGCACAACATGGCCAAACACTTGCAAAGTGTTTATGCAACTGGCTCTCTTGTGTTTCACACAGGACTATGAGAAGTACCTGCAGGTGCTGGCCCACTGTTCCCAGTAGGAGGATGAGAGACACTGGGCATAACCAAGTCCCTCCTGCACAGCCCAGCCTCCATCAGCCAATCCCCAGCTGGCTGACAGACTCTAGCTAAATAAATGCTGATTGTTATATGCCACTGAGACTTCGTTACTTGTATAGCCTTACTGTAGATGTAGTTAACTGATATACACACATGAATCTATTTCAGTGATGTTAAACGTCATTACAAAGCTTAGAAACATTCACAGCATTAGAAAATATATGCAAAATCAAAATGGAATATGTCATTTACATATTTATAAGAATTATCACTTTTCCAGGTAACAAAACTATGAAAATAATTCAAAGCAGAAATTAGCCTGTAAATATACTAATTTAATCCAATCAAATAACTAAGTAGTTTATTAAAGAGTTACATAACTTCATACTATCAAGCCAAAAAATTTAAAGAGGACACGAATTAGTTAAGGGATTAGCTTAACCTCAAAGCACTCAGGCTGCAAAAACAGCACCATTTATAGGACTTTGATTTGGAATCCTGATTATTAGCACAGCAAATATAGCAAATAAAAGCTAACTAACAAAAGGGCTCAATGTAGAAGTCTGGGTCTTAAGAACACTGCCTGTGAATGTTTACAGCTCCAGATTAAAAAACCCAGACAAAATTTCTGATAGCTAAGCAAACCTAGCCAGCTGATGACACCCAAGCTCCATACTATGATGTAATTTTTGTCATTAGTGTCTGTTTTTAGAATGTCAAGAAGAATATAATTAAGCATAGAAATAATTAGCAAATCACCAAATATTTTCTTTTGTGTTAAATTTAGAAGGAATATGCACAAATCATTTTACATTAAAATACATTAAATATTTGGCATTTGCATACTTCTAAAGTTTCAGATGAAAAAGTATATTTGAATATTTAAGGGGAACTGGGTATTAACTTAGACTTCGAAATTTCTTGAAAAGTATGACAAAATTGTACTAAGTTTGTAACTGCATTAAAATAGTGTAGATATTTTTATCTAAAGGTTAAATCTTGCTTAAACAGATTTTCACAATTTTATGCGTAAATATTTGAAATTAGCT